CACTATATATTACAAAAATATAGCATATGTAAAAATTAAAGAATAAAAAAATGAAATGAACACCCATGTAACTGTTACCCAACCTAAGGAAAAAAAATATTACCCATACTTTTCAAGTCCCCTAGAGACATCTCATCAATCCCATCCTCCTGCCTTCCAGCAGAGGTAACCATCACCCTCAATTTGAGACCATCATTGCCTTGCTTTGCTTTATGATTCTGCTCAATTAACCATTGTATAACCTTGCAAAGAAATAGTTTCTAATACTCAAAAGGTAAAATACGGCCAGGTGTGGTGGCTTAACCCTTAAGCCTGTAATCCTAGCACTTTTGGAGGCTAAGGCAGGAGGACTGCTTGAGCCCAGGAGTTCAAGACCAGCCTGAGCAAGAGCAAGACCCCTTCTCTACAAAAACCAGAAAAATTAGCCAGGCATGGTGGCGCATGCCTGTTGTCCCAGCTACTTGGGAGGCTGAGGCAGGAGGATTGCTGGAGTCCAGGAGTTTGAGGCTGCAGTGAGCTGTGATGACACCAGTGTACTCTAGCCCGGGCAACAGAGTGAGACCCTGTCTCAAAAAAAAAAAAAGTTGATGATTGTTGAAGTTGAATGATGGGTACACAGGTATTTGTTATGCTATTCTTTCTACTCTGGTATATGTTTGAAATATTCCATAAAGAAAAACTTTAAAAAAAAGAAAAAAGAAATATGACCTAGCATACCTACATGAAACACTCAATTCAAATGTATTCAGGAGTACTTGTGAAGTAAAAACAGCCTTAAAATAGTAACATGGGTAGTAGTACTTAAGAAGCCCTCTAAGAATACACTACACCCAATTAATGTAGAAGAGTAGAATAGAGCAGCCAGCATTGAATGGAAAGGGAGGACATTAACGTTCTTCATTCACATATACAGAAAAAAGTAAATCAGACAACAAAAATTACATTTGGTCTTAAACATGTACTTAACAATGTTACCATAAAGATTTATTATATGAAGTTCCCTCACTCAGAGTCACATGTGCAAGATGGCCTCATTTATTTTTCCTCATTTTGTTCTTAAAATGCAAGATGTGTTAAATCATAACGAACAAAAAATGTAATGCGTATGACTCAAAAGCCTCAAGAACACCTACTTTTATCACCCAAAAAGTGCCAATATAGCAAACACCCAGAAAGTTCCATTTAAGTGGCTTCAAACTTTAACAGTAACTGCCTCTAAAAGCTGATGAAAAAATAACTTGCAACCCTCTGACCATATAATTAATTGTGGAGAAGAATATAAAGTCATTTTTCAAAATGAAAGTATTTAAAACTTACTTCTCATGTCCTCTTTCCAAATAAGTTACGAGAATGTGTGCTCTACCAAAAGAGAAAGTTAAGTAAGATGACATTAACAGAATACAGAAAACATGGCCAGGAATGTTGGCTCAAGCCTGTAATCCTAGCACTCTGGGAGGCCAAGGTGGGAGGATCACTTGAGCTCAGGAGTTCAAGACCAGCTTCAGCAAGAGTGAGACCCCGTCTCTACTAAAAATAGAAAGAAATTAGCCAGGCAACTAAAAATTAAAAAAAAAAAAAAATAGCTGGGCGTAGTGGCACACACCTGTAGTCTCAGCTACTTGGGAGACTGAGGCAGGAGGATAGCTTGGAGCCCAGGAATTTGAGGTTGCTGTGAGCTAGGCTGATGCTATGGTACTCTAGCCTGGGCAACAGAGCAAGACTCTGTCTCAAAGACAAAAAAAAAAGGAATACAGAAAACATGACACCCAGCCAGGAAACAGGCAAAGGCATCCATCACAGGACATAAAGGGAGCTTTCAGGATGACTGCTGAGCACCAGGCATGGAGGATGACCCATCTAGATTGCAACCATTGATTCATGGGCCCGACAAGTTGAAAGACTCTCATCACCAAGATTCCCACTGCCATTGTAACATTTTTATTCATCTGAGGACATACTGCCGAAGCGAGCCTAACTCACGTCCTTAGTGTACTTGGCTTATATGGACTATGTAATAACAACACTCTCACTCTCCCCTCTGCCCCCCATTCCCTGCCACCTGGATCAGCTGAGGTCTCTCATCTCACCTTATGAAATATTCTGCTTTCACCTACTTATAAAACTCTTGAGCTCTTCACACTAACTGAGAATGGTAACAGAATAGGGGGCCATTGCCCCTCAGAAACAGGCCTTTAAGGGAATGGAATATAAAACAAGTCAATTCGAATGAACTTTTAATAGCAAGAAAGTCAAGAACATGAGATACTGCTTAGGGAGGACTGGCCCAAACGGGGTGTTCAGAAAGGCAATCTGGGCAAAAAAATGACAATATAAAAAAAAGCCTGAGGGTGGAAAGGTAAAACCTACCTAACAACCCTCTCAAGGAACACCAATGGGCTGGGCGTGATGGCTCACACCTGTAATCCTAGCACTCTGGGAGGCCGAGGCGGGCGGATTGTTTGAGCTCAGGAGTTCAAGAACAGCCTGAGCAAGAGCCAGACCCCGTCTCTACTAAAAAAACAGAAAGAAATTATCTGGACAACTAAAAATATACAGAAAAAATTAGCCAGGCATGGTGGCACATGCCTGTCCCAGCTACTCGGGAGGCTGAGGCAGTAGGATCGCTTGAGCCCAGGAGTTTGAGGCTGCTGTGAGCTAGGCTAATGCCACGGCACTCACTCTAGCCAAGGCAACAGAGTGAGATTCTGTCTCAAAATAAAAAAAGGAACACCAATGCTTACAAAAGAGCAGGAACACTTTTTCTTCCAGGAAAAAAAAAAAGAAACAAAAATTTTTAAAACTCTCATTGGCATAGACAAAAATGGGCCAAGAATTCATTTGTGGTACTAATAAAAATCTTCTAAACGTACAGTATTCTAGAATACATGACAAACTAAGAAAAACACTGTACCTTTCCCCTACGTCCATTTCCACCATCCTGATCTTCCCACTGCCAGTCCACTCCTCGTACCACTCTGGCACCTGCGAAGATTCCTCTGGCTGTAATCTTCTTAGATTTTCTACGAGACTCTAACAGAACCCTAAAAATAAAATTATTTATTTTCAAATTTATATAAAAATTGGTAACTAATTTATTTTTTCAAACAAAATTACAAAAAGTTTATTTTGAAAGTAGAAGAGATTCTTCATTGTTCTAGTTATTACCATAATATTAGTAGCATGATACAGAAATACCTTGTACATTCCACAGGTGATGATGACAACAGTAGTTGTATTAATAATAGAAAAGCTAACATTTACAGTGCTTTTACATATATCAGTGTAAAGTGTTACATTTAACAGAAAGGTACTAATATCTTATCCATTTTACAAATAAGGAAACTGAGTCTCTCAGAAGTAATTTGCCCAAAGTCACAAAAGTTAAAAAGTAATAGAGTCAATATATGAACCCAGTCTAAGCATTTCAGGGTATCACTATACTTTTTACTATTTTAGAGGTGGCAAACTCAAATCCCTAAAGCTGCTAGGCAAGTAATATAAATGAGGGCCTAAGAAAAATAGCACTACAACGACAAATGGCAGATGGCATTTGACCTCAGACTTAGGAAGACAACAGGAGGTGACAAGAACTTAGGTCAATTCAAGAGCATGATCTGTTTTAAAGGGTGCAGGTGTTTGTTTCTCTGCTTCAGCCAACTGCTGCCAAGAAAAAATGTAGGCCGGGCATGGGGGCTCACACCTGTAATCCAAAGCACTTTGGGAGGCCGAGGTGGGAGGCCTGCTTGAGGTCAGGAGTTCAAGACCAGCCTGATCAAGAATGAGACCCTACTCTACAAAAAACAGAAAAATTAGCTGGGTATAGTGGCTTATACCTATAGTCCCAGCTACTGGGGAGGCTGAGGCAGGAAGATCCCTTGAGCCCAGGAGTTTGAGGTTGCTGTGAGCTATGATGACGCCACTGCACTCCAGCCAGGGCAACAGAGCCAGACCCTGGCTCAAAAAAAAAAAAAAGAATGTAAGTCCAGTGTTGAGTGCCTTTTGGCGGGAGCTTAAAGATCCATAAACTTCGACTTTGGTGTGAAATCACCTGATTTTAAAAGGTTAGCAATTATTCAAAAATTTAGAGTCATCTGTATGCCAGTAAAATACATCTGTGGCCAGGATTTGACCTACACTAAACTGTCTCCAAAGTATTGCATACTGACTGAAGATTATGAACCTTGAAAAAGATTCCACACTCAACTATCTGGGCCAGCTTGATTCTCCAAGGCCATCTATCGCTTACTCTTCTGTATCTTTCTCATTCATACAATCAGAAAAGTTGAATGGGTTTTGTTTTTCTAATTTTAGCTCATTGTTCATCTATTCATTTTCAGAATGTCTTTATTATTCCCTAACTTTAAGTATAAGCAAAAGACAAAATAAACAACTCATTCAAAACTACTCAGTTAATAAACGGCAGGACCATGATTTACACCAACACAGTCTAACTCCAAAATCTATTTATCTATTAATACTACTACTCTTAGCTGTCTCCCTAAGACTGGCTAGAATCTTGCTCCTATGCATTATCCATATCTACAAGAGAAGATTCCATCACCTAAAATTCTGCACCCATTAACAATGAATACTCTCTCATTGCTCCTAGGACACTTAATACGTATCTCTACCACAGTCCAAAACATCACATGATAATCATTGATCCAATATTTCCTTTAACTTTTAAACACCTTAAGACTATTATGGGGGAGGTGGGGGGGGCGGGGTGGAGAAAGACTACTATGTGTCTTATTTATCCTGAAATGTCCACAAACATAGCAGCTGTCATGTAGTCTTAATAAATGCCTACTGACTCAATGAATGGGCCCTGGTGTTCATCTGGTAGCAATTAACAGAATAGCAAGCATAATGAGAAGAAAATAATTGGGCTGCCCTTACATTTCCAAACATAGAGTAGTGCTAAGGGTCTAAGCTAGAGAAAGAATAGCCCAGATCACCTTGGAAAAATACATACAGTTCCATCTTCACAGAGCTGCTCTCTCATTTTATGGCAGGCTTGGTCTATTTCTAGCCTGCTATCTGCTACCTTCTGATACTAAACTGTCAAAAGCTATTTGCTCATCCTATATTTAAGGCTCAGTAGTATAAAACAAATACAAACAAGGAATCACAACTGAAGAAAAAAATTATTTCCCTTACCGCTCACTTCCTGGTGTGGTAATTCTGTAAAAGCGATGTCTTAAATGATGTTTATCTCCATGATAACACACTGTGCACAAATCATAATTTGTACACTCTGCACATTTCCATCGAATGCCAATGATTGGTTGCTGGCGGCAGGTATCACACATGGTTCCATCATGCTTGATGCCTATTAAAATAAGGATACATACTTATGTTAATTATAAGTATAATTTATTTAAATATTATTCTCTGGGGGGGGAATAAGAACAGTACATTTTACAGGGTATTTTAATAAACCGAGAAAGAAATAACATTTCAAATATACCACATACAGCTTCAAGATAATAAATCTCAAATATTTTAATCAGTACAAATTATAAACTAAACATTTTCTCTCCCCTCCCTTTTTCATAAGTAAGAACGTATCTCAGAGTAGCTCTTTCTTTGCTCTCATCCACAAACTAAAACTTAGGTTCAACGCAGAGAAAGAAGAATCCTTTACCACCAAGTAGATGTTTCAAACTACAAACCCTCAGAAATCTTTGGAAGAATTTTGACCTATTCTGTAGTTAAACAAGTACTCCAAAACAAAAGACAATTTTATCCTCATGATACCATGGAAACAAACTATCAATTAACTTAAGAATTTACTCCTAGGTATTGATAATTTTTTCCCATTAACAATAAATCTTAGAAAATAATTGGCAAGAAAGTTTCCCTATTTAAAGGAAAATAATACACTGGTGGGGTTTTTCCCCCTTAAGGAACAAGAAGTAATAAACTTTGGGGGGGGAAAAAAAAAACAAGCACTTGGTAATATTACCTCCACTAAAAATAATCACACATATGGATGAGACAGACATTAGACCAATAAAAGGTACCACTATAAAGTAACGAAAATTACTTTCTTTCTAGGGTAATAGAACTGGGGGTAATGTTCCTTTACTATCCTATAATATTATCACTTGTTCCATAAACTAAAACTGGGATTTTTTTCGCAACATGTGGCTTGTGTTGCAGCTCAATGCGGAACAAGCAAGGGGTACAAGCACATCAGTTACTCTCTCCCGAATTCAAGTTCTGACTCTGTCAACGGCTGTTTTTTTTTTTTTTTTGAGACAGAGTCTCGCTCTGTTGCCCTGGCTAGAGTGAGTGCTGTGGCGTTAGCCTAGCTCACAGCAACCTCAA